AGGGCAGAGGCAGAAGCATGACAGCCTCTAAACTCCAGATCAGTCCTGACATATTCTAAATGGCTAGGTCACTACTCAGCCTTTACCATCTCAGGGTTCCAGCTCTAAATTATAGGACATAGGCTCTCATGTGCCCCCATATGAGCTCCAAAATACCCCTGCCCTTACTTAGAAAACCAGTTTGAGCCTAGAAACCTAAACCTCTAAATATAGTGAAGACAATATATAACTCAGGCCTAGGTATGGGTCCAAATGGCCCTGTGTACCCAAGAACAGGCTCCAATTATTGTTTAAAAAAAGAAGAAAAGAGAAAGATCCTATGTTTTTTATTTTCATAACAAACTAGACCATGAAGGAAGTCAGTAAAGCTATGCTGTCATCGGGTTTCTGCTAGAGAAGTCTCTTGATACAGCTGTTCCTGAGGCAGCCTCATCTCCTGAAATATTCTCACCATCACAGAAGCTCATTGGGGACCCATGGACAGGTGACTGTTCCCATCCCAAGGAGATAGGCCTTATTTCCTACTCTGTTTTCTAAATGGGAAATCCATTTGGAATCAAATGTGAGAGGAAATGGGGAAATCTCTATGTAGAATATTGAAGAGACTGGGGATGGAGACACAATTTTATACAAATCAAGCATTGAGTTACTTGCCTTAAATCTAGGCTAGATGATTCTAGGATATAGAAGCTACATACCCACTTTAGGATTCCTTGATCACTCCCAGATGGAGGGAAGAAAAGATAGAGAAGTTTCTGAACTTGGGTAAATCTAGTAAGAGATCTTCTAGAATTCAGTTAATATTCATTAGTACCCAGAGAGCCTTGCTGCAAAATAACCTACACATATAGATCGTATTGCCCTAACTTCTGTCATGGAAAGCCATAGAAACAGGCTACACACACAAAGAGAATATAATGTGTAAAGTCACTATATGCTATTTTTCATACAGATACAAATATTCAGTGTCAGCCAGTGCACAATCCAGTGACAAAAACCACTTGTTTATACCTGAAAATTATTTGCACCAGGGAGCATGGCTGTGAGGGTATAGAGATTGAGGACAAACACAAGACTTGATTATCTTTCTCTGGCTTGGCTCACTACAATATTTTAAAGGAAATTGCTATTAGTAGAAAAGATAAGCAGATAAATTTTTTAAATGATTAAAAAAAAAGTCATCTTAGAAAGTCAGAATAAACAAAGCTATTGCTCTCTTCTTCAAGTTTTTGTTTCCTCTGCTCTGGAAACAAGTAACCACTCCCCTATCCTGGGAAGAATGTGTGTGACATGACACTGAAGGAAGCTGATAAAAGACAAAGTAGTCATTTTCTATCCTACATGGCTAGAAAAGGAGTTCAGGGGGCTATTTGGAAGATTCCTCAAGATAGGGCAGTCACCCTTTGGTGCTCAACATCTCAATGCCTCCCTCTCCTTGGGGCCGTCTGCAGGCCATGTGGATGAAGTCATGTGAAAGTGAGGAGGAAGGGACAGATTAGATTGCTGTGTGGATTTCTTGCTGAGACCAACAAAGTAGCATATGGATCCAGGATGCAACATGACCCTGGGAAAGAATTTGTAGTAACCTCACAGAAGACAATACTGGCTAGTTGGAAAACAAAAGAAAAAAAACCCTGGAATAAGAGCCAAGAGGTGTAAGTTCTAATCCCAGCAGTGCCAATGGGCAGCTGTGTGACCTTAGGGGGAATTCACTTTACATCCTTGTCTGTTTCCTGGCCTTAAGAAAATTAAAAAAAAAAAATGGAGCAGATGATGTGATCTTAATCCTCCTTCCAGCTAGAAAATGCTATAGCTCAGTCTAGGCTAATACTAAAGTCCACAAGGACATAAAGCAGTCATGCTAATGGCTATCCTTTCCAAAACAGTTATGAGAAAAGAAGCTTTTCTCTCACTTTAATTCTACTTAGCACTACTTACGAAGTTAGTTGTTCAACCCAGGCCCCATATATACAGTTCCCTTTTTTTGACCCTATTTCTATTTCTGTGGGGAAGAAAAGTCAGGAGGTAGGAACAAGCAACATGTTCTCTCTCCCTCCCTCTCTCTCCCTCTCCCTCTCTCTTTCTCTCTCTCTCTCTCTCTCTCTCTCTCTCTCTCTCTCTCTCTCTCTCTCT